ACCAGAACAAATTCAATAAGCTGTAGTTGTTCTGATGACTATAGTGTCCCTTTAAGTACAGCATTATGGCCAACTGTTACGAAGTATAAACAAATATCAATCAGAATGCCTCTCAGCACACCATTTTGGCAGGAATCTCCTACAAGGTGGTTGTTTGCTGGTCTATATCCAGTCACAGACCTCATGGTATAAATTATTATTAGTAGTATTATTATTTATAAAGCGCCATCAAGTTCTGTAGCGCTGTACAATGGGTGGACTAACAGACATGTTATTGTAACCAGACGAGTTGGACACACTGGAACAGAGGGATTGAGGGCCCTGCTCAATGAGCTTACATGCTAGAGGGAGTGGGGTATAGTGACATAAAAAGGTAAGGGTAGGGTAGAAACGTAGGTTGCTGGGATAGTATTCATTGAGGGCTTAGTGTTTAGTTTTAATGACATTTGCAGGAGAGGAATTAGGGTGCGGGGAGGGAAAGCTGTTCACAGTTTAATTGACACGCTTTCCTAAAGAAGTACTTTTCAAAGATTTTTTGAAGGAGTGGAAACTGGTTGAAAGTCTAACCGAGAGGGGAAGGGAAGAGAGAAGTCTTTAAGGTGAGCATAGAAATGTAAAAAGTATTAGTTGTATTGCCCCCCGTTCCCACCATTAGTATAAGGGCGAGAGCTAGTTAGTGTTTGTTTATTTTAATGGGGACCCTAAGCCAGCAAGGGTGGGGGGACAACAATGGCACAATTTTCGGCAGGGGGAAGATTTTCTGATTTTCACCAGATTTTTTTGTTTGTTTATGTTTAGTGAAATACCCTGAAACAGTGAAACAGGTCTCGCAATAAGTGATGTATGTATGTGTGTGGGCAGGCTATGTGCATTAGATGACAGATAATAATGTATCATAATGATTTGTATTTTCCTCTGAATGTTTCATAACACATTGACCTCGTATCATGTCCACCTGTGTCAGGCTCAACACTCATCATATCGGATTAGATTACTATATATAACCTGCACATTAATCAGTGAAATGTATCTAGATATTCTGATTGCAATCCAATTAATAAATCACACGTAATAATAAGCCTATGCTTGCAAGTAAAGGATCATTAATAATGATTTAAAAACATAATGAATGGATCATTTTGATGACAGAAAGTCATATTTAAGAAAAGTGGCCATTATTTATGGCCCTGCAAAAAATGTTTCCACATTCCCTAAACACTGAATTGCACTGGATTGAAAATCGGAATTCGGAGAACGAGTCCAGCTGCCGTATTTTACAAATTGCTGTTTAGTGAATAACTCACTTTGTCTTGCTAATAAACACATTATTATACACCCTAACAGCGTGTTACATTTCAAAGGTCTCCATTCAAACGGTCCATGGGATTATTATTACAGCACTTTGCAATTGTAGAACGGGGATAATTAGACACGAAGAAGACCATGATTAAAGGAGTTTAGAATATATTAAGATTTGAGGTAGACAATATATATCACTGGGTGGTCTACATGGATTTAAACCAGGGCTTCCCCTTACTCAGACAGTGAGGTTATCACTGCAATAAACACCGGATTTAAAGAATTTACCTTGATCTTACTGAGCTAGAGGGACTTCCCCCAGGGAAAGCTACTAATCCAAACAGCTCAAACATTCCCCTGCCATGCATAGGTATTGCAAGAGAAAATTAAAATAACATGGCATGAAATCAAAAATATTATCTGAATACATACACTACACCAACTTATACACCTTTCACCCACTACACACACATTGCATCCACCACACACACTGCATCCACTACACACACACACACACACACACACACATACACAGCATCCCCTACACACACACACTGCATCCACTACACACACACACACACACACACACAGCATCCCCCACACACACACACACAGCATCCCACACACACACACACACAGCATCCCCACACACACACACTGCATCCACACACACACACACACACACACACACACACACACAGCATCCCCTAAATGCACACATTGCATCCACTACACACTGCATCCATTTTACTCCCACACAAACACACATTGCACCCACTACACACACACACACACACACACACACTGCATCCACTACACACACACACACACACACAAGCATCCCCCACACACACACACAGCATCCCCTACACACACACATTGCATCCACTACAAACACACACACACAGCATCCCCTACACACACAGCATGCCCTACACACATACATTTCATCCACTACACACTGC